TAAAATGGTGACAAGTATTACATTTTGATAAAAATAATAATAGTTTAAGACATTTGTTATTATTTCATATAAAAAGAAAAATAGGAGGATATTTAATTTCTCATTTTAAAATTACTTTATGTAAATAATTAGATTATTATAGGAGTGATGCTGTTTTTATGCCATTTTAAATTATATGTTTTGTTCATCGTGAATTGTCACGAGTATACTTTTAGGAAGGTTAATTTTTATTAAATAAATTACATAATTTTAATTTGAAATCACCATATACCATTGTTTGACAAAAGAGAAATTGCGAGTGTCTAAACTCTAAACGTTTCCGATTAGTATAACTTATACATACATTTATCTTAATTATCCTTGACATTGTATCTCTTTATTTAATTTCTAGTGTGTGCACTTATATTACCCTATATATTTATTTGTGTTGATGTGCATGGTAATTCGTTTTCTCCTTCTATTCTCATGTGTATGATGTGTTCTTTTTTGCTTTCTCTCAAAATGTGTGTAGAAGTATGATTGTATGGACCAAAACAAAATTATTGTATTTTTCAAGTGTAGGGACTGTTATGCCTAACAAAATTATTGTTTTTGATTCGGATTGGTTTTGGTTAAGGTCCAACTGATTGTATCTATTTATTTTTAATGTTTATTTTTATACATATATTTAATCAATTATTAATTTATTATAATTATACTTGGTTTTTTTCAATTATATTAGAAGGTATGACCCAAATAAGTAAATAAAAAGGCTTTAATCAAAAATTATATTTATAAAAAAATGAATAGATTTTGGAATATCTCAACTTTTAAGACCAGACTGATTCAAATTTCTTTGGTTCAGATCAAATTTCAATTTCGTTTAAACTGAAATCAATTCAAATTCACTAAATTGGATCCAAACGAACCAATTTATTCAAACAAACACTCCTAATTATAACCATTCCGCCTTTGTAAATTGACTAAATTGGATCCAAACGAACCGCCTATAATGTTGCAAGGTTGTAAGTAAGGCATACACGGTGTACTTTGTTAGTAATGAAATTTCTAATAGAATACATCCAAATTAATTTTAAATCATGTTTGATATTAAAATAAAATGTATAGGAAAAAAAAAGTCAAGGGCCAATTAGGATCGACGACAATACATCAATCAATCATGCCTAACTTTAAGGTGAGGTTAAGGATGAGTTGACTGTTGAGTAATAAGTCCAGGTGTATAAGGCCCGGTGTTATTTGTATCTACTAATACTACCTCCCCTTCATCCCTTCCTCTGTCTTTGTGTGGTCCTTCAACTTCCTTTAATATCTTTTTCCTATCTACTAACAATACAAATGCTATATTTCTCAAATCAATATAACTTTACATTAATTAATTAATGAAATAGTTTTCTATAATTATCTATATTCATTTTTTTTATTTTATATATATTCAATAAAATAGATTAACTAATCGTAGAAAATAGAACCTTAAATTTGACCTTAATGCTTATAATGCTTTATGTGAAATTTCAACAACCCTTTCTAACAGCTTTTTATGTGCACATATATATTTCTCTCCACATTTGAACTAAATGGAATTTATGTAGATATTGTATATTAAGTTTGGGTCCATCTGTTACAATAAAATCGAAGTTGAATTTCATTGAGTTGAAAAGTGAGATTTTGGACAAAGAAATATACGGGGAGGAAGAATGTGTCAGTGAGCAAGTCCTTTATATTATGTAGAATTTATATTAAGTGGAATTTCTATATTATGGTATTAATACTATATAGAATAAATATCATAAAAAATCATATAAAAACATAACATAAAGCATATGTAACATTCTAACATGGTAATATGGAAATTAGAAAGTGTCAAAGTGTACAGCTCAATCACCATCAGTGAACAACAGAACCAGTGTTATCGATAGCGATAGCGAGGTTATAGTGATAACCTACCTATATGCTACGTAGCGATAGCGATGGAATAGCGATGGCTATTTCATTTTAGCGATTGCCTAATAAAAAATTAATACTATTTATATATTCACCTATTTAACAATTATAACTAATAAATAAGCTAAAAACCAATACTAGTGGCTCAGATAAGTTCTAAAACATGAATATTAAATAACTGATTCACAATAAGCATTCAAATTATAACTAAGAAGAACAGAAATTGTAAGTACATAGGTGTACAACAAAGAAAGAAACGAAGTGTAAAAGAACCTAGAACAAAAACCTTTGAAGCTGATATGGAGAGAAGGAGCAGTGCAGGAAAACTTTCCATTATCACACTACTTGGCATCATAAATCTCAGAAAACTTTGCTCCTATTTGTTTTAATAACATTTAACATAAAAACAAAAATTCAAGTTTCCTTAGAAATAGAACTTCTAACACTTCAAACCAAATTTCCAGCAACTAATACTTCAAACAACTTCAAACAGGAAGCAGAACTGGAACAAAAGTAGTAACACTGGAATTGTGGTATAGGCAGTTAAAGGAATTGTAGAATAGGAGTACAGAAATATGGAATATATATAATCAATTGAATGTAATAGAAGCATTAATCATAAGAATTCAGAAACTTAATCGAAGAGGTGAAGCACAACTTTTTTTTTTCGATCGATGGTTTACCTGTCAATCTCCAAATCGGTGATCCAAACACCAAATTGGCGATCCCAAATGCAAAATTGGCAATTCCAATCAATAATTAGACCAATTCCGATCAATAAAAACATGTTCCAGCAATCAATTTTGCCATTTTATAAAAAAAAATCAATTTAATTAAAAAAAACATTATATCGCTACGTCGCTATTACCTCGCTATAAGCCCCATAGCGACACACCAACGCCTCGCCTTGCTAAACGCAATAGCGATCGCTATGATCGCTATTGACAACACTGAACAGAACATAATTCAGAATGCATGAATCATAAAAAGCTTTATAAAGGCTTTTTATTGCTTAATCAATCAGTGAGCAATATTCAGAATATTGTTTAGAAAATAAAAAGAGAGAAGGAAAAGAGATGTGAGGTTGTGACCTACCAATGGGTAGACCTGGCAAACGTGTCGTGTCGTGTCGGGTTCGTGTCGTGTCAAGGACTTGACCCTAACCCGACCCGTTTAATTACCGTGTCGTGTCGTGTCGTGCCAACCCGTTTATTTTCGTGTCGGTTTCGGGTTAAGGTTTAGACCTTCTAAATATGTTGTGTCATGTCGGGTTGAAATATTTTAAAGGTTGGAAAGTAGGAGTTGTGGAGGCAAAAAGGAAAAAGTGAAACACTGGAGTTATGAGATGGAATGAAAAAATTTATAGTAAGTTTAGAAGGAAAAATAAAAAGAGTTAAAGTTGGGGAGCAAAGGGGATAGGTGGTGAGGATGACTAAAATTAAGTAACTTTGAAATTTTGAATATTACTTCTAATTTTTGAGTTTGGCCCACTACAAGTCTATAACATATAATATATTTATAAAAATATGAAATTTATTATAAATAATATATAATTAAACGGGTCATATTCAATTCATCTTCGAGTTAAAAATCTTGACCCTAACCCTACCCGTTAGATTATCGGTCGTGTCGTGTCAACCCGTTTACATAAACGTGACGAAATCTCTGACCCTAACCCGCTAATTTCGTGTCGGGTTTTCGTGTCGTATCATGATTTGTCAGGTCTACCAATGGGAAGTCTTCAGTCTTCACAAATATGATAGGCATTTGGGCTTAAAATAAATCCAATTTATTTGGGTTGGGCCCAATCGATGCTAAGGAAGTCTTTTTTCATTAAACTGAAATATCCCAATTTGAGGGGGCAAGAAAGTTTGCATTTATGGAAGATTGTAGCGATTTGGTGTAATGAGTTGGTTATTGCATGTTAAGTACGCTTTATTCATTTAAAGTCTTAGTTGATTTTAGGGTTTTAGTTTTGGACTTTTGGTATATTTACCCAAGAAATCAAATGTTTATGTTTCTTGGGTTTTATTTAGAGCTGGCAAAAATCGACCCAACCCGCCAACCCAACCCAAAATTAGCGGGTTGGGTTGAGATTTCCAACCCATTTAAGTTAAATGGGTCAACCCGTCTAGCCCATTTAATTAAATAGGTTGGGTTGGGTAAAAATTATCAACCCGTTTTCAACCCACCAACCCATTTAACTTTAATATATGCTTAATTTAATATTTATTTGAATATTATCATGTATTAATCGAAGTATTGATTTATAAATTAAAATGTTGTATTATAATTTGTGCTTTAAAAAAATGTAATCTTAATTCCCATTTTTTTTCTTATCCCCAAAAATACTAGCCCCTTTCCAAAATCTCTATGAAATTAAATATTTTTTATGTTATTTGATTAATTTATTCAAAATTCTAAATTGTGATTGTGTTTTTGTTGTACTTTGAAATTTTATTTATGTTTGAAACTGATTTATATAATATAATCTTTAGTTAATGTATTTATTTTTTTTGATTTTAAATAAGTAAACCTAAGTTTAACTCATTTATTTAATAGGCTGGATCGAGAACTACATAAATGGGTCAACCCGGTGGCAACCCATTTATCTATAAGGTTGGGTTGGGTTGGAAATATCAATCCATTTAAATAAACAGGTTGGGTTGGGTTGGATTGATATTTTCAACCCAATTAATAAATGAGTCCACCCCGAACCCAACCCAGATCGACCCATTGTCAGCTCTAGTTTTATTGTGTAAATAGCCCTTAGAGCATACTTTAGAGAAATATATTAAAATGTGTTGGTGAAATATTAAACCTAACTTTATACGAAATTTTTGTTGTGATATATTCTATAGTTGCTTTTGCAAGTGTAACTTCTACTATGAATATGAATACATAGACATGTGGGAACACTAAAAGCATCTCCAAAATCCAAACTTCCTAATTCAAATATCACTCAACAAAATCCAATAAAGTCCAGTCTTTCTACTTTATCATATTCCCAGTTTACACAACTAACAGTGTCTAAAGATTTAATGTACATAAAGAACATTTTAATACACAAAAGGGATAAACTTGTACCTAACCTTATTCATGTATTCCGTGTACTCATCTCCAAAAGCCTCCAACATCAAACCCTCTTCTAGTTTCGCCTTCTGCTCATAGTACATCAAGCAAACAGCAACGACAAAAAGTGAGCTCAATGGAGCACGAAGTGCAATGAAGTAACTCAAAAACAGAAGCCCAGTAGATGCATATATCGGGTGTCTGATCCACCTGTAAGGTCCAAACTGCACAACAGCAGTAGGCACCACTACTTTTTCTGAATACTTTGCAAGATACAGTGAAGAATCATACTGTAAAAACACAGTCAACATTATCAATCCCCAAATCCCAAGATTGCTCCAACCTCCAGGAATTAAGTGAAGTTGTGGCGCTTCAAATGCTGCAAACCAGTGCGCAACCATGACTCCGACACAAAATAGAACACGGTGATTAACAGGAGTCTGGATGTCCCATTTAGGATCGTGTTCCCGAGGATAGAAATCGCCATACAGGCGTTTACGGATACTGGTGTTGAGGAAGAAGAAATAATGGTACACGAGAAAGAAGACAAAAGGCCAACCTTCTAGGAAACCATTTGTGAAACCAGGTGGAACTAATGTAAGCCATGTGAAAGATGAAGTTACTATAGCGAGTTGCTCGAGGACACTAGATTCGCCCTTTAGGTGCTTGCTGAAACTGTAAATACCGTATATAGCGAGACCAATTGCAATGTACCATGGCCAGAACAACCAAGTCCAGCTAAAATACATCCAGAAGAAAGGACTAAGTAAAGTACTAACCCCCCATTTTACTGACGCAACTGCAAGATACCCTAGAACCACCCATTTGCAGACCCTAATTGGGTTTAACTCGGAAATGGCCTTTTTCAGTCCGTCGAGAGAGAAATTTTCGAAATTGCTCATTGCGGAGTTACCAAAGCTGGTGGTGTCTGAATATGAGCTCTTGATTGGTTGAACGAAATGGGTTCTGTTCCTTGAAGCGTAAATATTCGTAGCAGTTAACAGTGGGCATTGCAGAGTCGTTTTGAAGGTGTTATCAGTAGTAGATAACCGACCCACCAAGTGTTTGTTGAAATGTCTCAACGAAATTCTGTTGATTGTAGGAGAAAACAAACGACAAGGGTTTGCATTTAAGGAGACTACAACAGGCGATCCCATGGCTACGATATGCAGAATTTGGGAGACCACCGTACTAGTTGAATTCGATCATCGGATAACCTTTTGGGGGTAAACAAAGGAGAAAACTACAAGAAGATTGAGAGACTCTTTATATGCCCTAAGAATCGGGACAAGTTTAACCATTAAGGTTTCGGGCTTCGGACCCAACTTACCAAACGGCCCAAACTTTGGTTATTAAACTTTAGACAAAATTGCAAGAATGGTCCAGTGGTGTTTCAAAACTAACATATTTAGGCCAAAAAAAGTTTGGACTCGCATCAATGATTCAATAGTTTGATTTTGTTGCGAGTTTGATCGTTTTATACTTTTTTATAATGAGGGAGTTGCCCTTGGTATTTTCTTTTTTTTTCATTTTTTTTATTACAGAAATAAAAAATGAAAAATAAAAAAAGAAAATACATCTCTCTCTCTTCATCATAATGTTTCTCCATACCGAACCCAACAACCACCGACGGAGGTGACGATTGAGGAACTCCACCTCTGATTTGATTCCCACACCACCATCTGTTATGAATCTAATTGACAGTAATGGAGTCAAATAAATTTTATTGAATGATTGAGAGAATTTGATGATGGGAAGAACAGAACTGTAAGAATTAAGATGGGAAAATGATCATAGATCTAACAAAATGCTTGCCTATCCAGCTCACACAATACATTATTTAAATATATACGAATAACAAAATCCGTTAGGGTATTGCTGATGTGGCTCCCATGATGTGGTCCTCATACTTTTTGGGTATCTTTCTGTTTCTTTCACTCCTTCTAATTTGCTCTGGTTGCACAATGGCCCCCTGTTGTTGCCTTGGGCTATTTGAACATCTTGAGTCATGACAATACCGCCTCCATTAAAATTAACCTTGTCCGCAAGGTTGAAATTAGGAAATTGATGTTGCAGTTGCTGATCATCTTCCCAAGTAGAAGCATCTGATGGTAAACCTTCCCATTGAATTAAACTTTGAGGAACAAGCTTGTTGCCTTTGTAAACAGAACGTTGTTAGAGAATCTGTTGGGGTTGAAGGATTAAGGTATTTGTAGAATCGACCAAGTGTAATGGAGTGATTTGGTGGTCCAGTTTCCCTACACACCGACGAAGTAAGGAAACATGAAAAACCGGATGAATGTTAGCGGTAACCGGTAGATCCAACTTGTAAGAAACTTCCCCAATGCGAGCCATAATACGGTAATGACCAAAATAACGATGGCCAAGCTTGTGGTGGCGTTGTAAACGGGCTGAATTTTGGCGGTAAGGATGCAATTTCACATAGACCCAGTCATCAACCTGAAATTGCACATCCTGACGGTGTTTATTAGCAGCCAATTGCATCCTGTTTTGAGCTTTGAGCAAGTTGACTTTAAGTTGAGAGAGCACAACATCACGTTCCAAGAATTGTTCCTCCAAATTCCGATTGGTGGTCGAATCTCAGAGATATCGAGCAATAGTAGGTGGTTTGCGACCATATAAGATTTCGAAGGGGGTCAATTGTGATGAAGTTTGGTAGGATGTATTATACCAAAACTCAGCCCAAGGCAAAAATTGAATCCATTTCTTTGGAAAGTCGGCAACAAAACAACGAAGATACATTTCGACACAGCGATTGAGAGCTTCAGATTGCCCATCCGTTTGTGGGTGGTAGGCGGTACTAAACTTAAGAACAGTACCGTGTAAGCGGTGTAATTCCTTCCAGAAATCCGTCATAAACCACGCGTCTCGGTCGGTCACAATCGACAATGGAACCCCATGAAGATGAACTATTTCATTGATAAAAACTGTAGCCACCGACACACTGTTAAATGAAGACGGTAAAGCAACAAAATGGCCATATTTGGACAGCTGGTCCACTACCACCATAATGACAGTTTTTCCCTGTGACAGCGGAAGACAGGTGATAAAATCCATTGCGATATCTTCGAAAACGGATTAGGGAATTAGTAATGGTTGAAGAAGACCCCCCAGTGAAAAAAAGGATGGTTTAGTTTGTTGACAAATTTGACAATTTGCAACAAATTGTTGAACATCAGCTTTCATATATTTCAAGTAAAAATTGGCCGCCAACCGTTGATATGTGCGGGTAATACCGGAGTGACCCCCGATGACCGAAGAATGAAATTCGGTAAGAAGCTGTGTACAAAGGGTTGCATTGTTAGGAACCAATAAACGACCACGGTATAAGATCATGCCATCTTTAACCCTGTAGTCTGGAAAACTCATCGGGTTAGAAGTTATCTGTTGGAATAGTGTGGACCAATCCAAAACTGTTTTGGCTGCCTTCAAAAAATCATGCAAGAAGGTAGGAATTGGTGTTGAGATGGCCATTAAATGCCCTGAAGGAACCCGGGACAGAGCGTCGGCTACATTATTCTAGTGACCGGGCCGGTAGAATATTTCAAAGTCAAACCCCAAAAGTTTACCCAACCATTTTTGTTGCTCAGGAGTCTGAATCACTTGATCTTGAAGACGTTTAAGGGATTGTTGGTCAGTTAAAATGGTGAACTTATGACCGAGTAAATATTGCCGCCACTTAGCAATAGCTTGTGTGATCGCATACATCTCACGGTGATACGTAGAAGCCTGTTGCATGCGTGGACATGGTTTTTTGCTAAAATATGCCAATGAATGCTTATCTTGGGATAAGATAGCACCAATACCTTGACCATAAGCATCAGTTTCAATGGTGAATGGTTTGGTAAAATCCGGTAATTTAAGTACTGGTGTGGAACTTAGGAGTTCTTTGAGTTGAGTAAAAGCTTGCAACGTGGTCGAGTTCCAGGAAAAGGCGTCCTTCCTTAGTAAATCAGTGAGGGGGGCCGGCAATGGAGGCATAATGTTTAATGAAGCGGCGATAGTATCCGGTCAGCCCTAGGAAACCCCTAACCGCCTTTACTGTGGTAGGTACCGGCCAGTTTTGAATAGCAAGAATCTTATCCGGGTCCACCGATACTCCTTGTACTGAAATAATATGACCCAAATAAGTGACTTTAGGCTGTCCAAAAGTGCACTTAGACAACTTTGCCACCAATTTGTGATCCTTCAACCGCTGTAAAGTAGTCTGAATATGTTGTAAATGATCAGCCCATGTTTTGCTATAGATCAAAATATCATCAAAAAAAACTAAAATGAAACGACGCAAAAATGGTCGGAAAACATCGTTCATTAGTCTTTGAAAGGTGGAGGGTGCATTAGTTAGCCCAAAGGGCATAACCATAAATTCATAGTGACCATCATGAGTATGAAATGCAGTTTTCATAATATCACCTTGAGCTAGCCGGATTTGATGATACCCAGCCAATAAATCCAATTTAGAAAAGTAGTGAGCATCATGTAATTCATCGAATAACTCATCGATGGAAGGAATAGGAAAGCGATCGCGTATGGTGATAGCATTAAGCGCCTGATAGTCAACACAAAAACGTCATGTGCCGTCTTTTTTGCGGACCAACAAAAACGGTGAAGAAAAAGGGCTAGTGCTTGGCCAAATGAGACCTTGTTGCAACATTTCCTGGACTAAGCGTTCGATTTCCTGCTTTTGGAAGTGCGGGTAGCGATAAGGTCGAACCGAAACGGGTTTACTATTAGGCACAAGCTCAATATGGTGATCCTGGGAGCGACTAGGAGGTAGCCCTCGAGGAGCAGTGAAAACATCAGCAAAACTATCGAGTAAAGCTTGTAAGTCTGGTGTGTATGTAGGCTGGTGTTGTTCTGGTGGTAGTAGAGATAAGTGAAATAATTGAGCTATACCTTCTGAGTGCAACAATTGTCGAAATCCGTGAAACTGAATCGGTTGAGCTACCGGAGTAAGATCACCTTGCCATTTGATTGATTTGCCATTGCATGAAAATTCAAATGTGGAAGAAGAATAATCTGTAATCACCGGACCCAGAGTCGCAAGCCACGAGACACCCAAGACCATATCCCAACCTTGTAACGGAATCACATAAAAATCGACCACAATTGTCTCACCCTGAATAAGTAATTCAACTTGTTTGGCGATGCCCGTACACGGTAGGCGTTCGCCACTGCCGACAAGTACAGAAAATGGGTCAATCGCTTCGATTGTAAGATTGAGGAACTGAGCAATGCGGGTCTGAACAAAACAATGAGTACTTCCCCCGTCTAAGAGTACCTGGACTGACGTGCCATGAACGGAGCCGGTGAAACGTAGAGTTGTAGCTGAAAACCCACCAGATAAGGCGTTATACGATATCACAGAGATGGATTTATCGTCCACAAGTTGTAATTTGTCGGCTAAGGAAGCATCAGTACTCGCTAACGATGGCGAATCAGGGAAACCACCTGGATCTGGAAGATCTTCATCAAAGAACAAGAGTTGTGGGGTGGACTTGCACTTATGATCCCAGGTGTATTTCTCGTCACACTGATAACACAGTCCTTGGGACTTTTTCTGAGCGAGTTCGGTGGGAGAAAGGCGACGGAAAGCCACCTTCGTATTAGCTGTCGGTGTGAAAGAAGGTTTAGTTGTGAACGGTAGCACTGGTGTAGGTGACTTAGGTGTGGGAAGTAAGGGTTTAGAGGAGCCTAACGTAACTCGGCCCAATCCTTTCTCAAATTGAACTCTCTGCTCATGTAATTGGGCCTTATCCATCGCATCCTCCAGTGTAGTGGGCTGATGTATAATGACCGACTGTTTAATGTCGGCACGGAGCCCGGAGATAAAGCAACTGATCAGAAACGGCACCGTCAATGGAATTGTGCGATTGGAGATGGCTTCAAATCGAGCACGGTAATCGGCGACGGTCGATGTTTGTTGGAGTTTGGCCAACAGCCCTTCCGGTTCTTCTAATTCTTTGTATCTGAATCGTTTGCTGAGAGCATCAGTAAACGACGACCATGAATCGATTTGATGATTGCGTTGGAGCCAATCAAACCAGTCGGCAACAGACTCATCCAAATAGAATGAAGAAATTGTCAATCGATCTTTCTCAGGAATGGAGTAAAATTCAAAATACCGAGAAGCTTG